CCATGTTAGTTTGGAGGAGTGTATATGCTTAGTTGAGTGAAGGGAGGGCAGCCTTGCCTAGGACATGTAAGTAATTGTAGCTACAAGGTTCCTGAAAATAACTTTTAATTTCTGTTACCTAGAATCCTACTATCTAGCTGAAATTATAATTTCTACTGGGGTTCCAAATCCCTTAGAGGTAGGTCCGACTTCCAAGTTGACGAGTTCACGCAAGAACCCCTAAATCCCAAAGCCTACATCCCACCCCCTAAATGCCAAATCCTGAGCCGCAATCCCGAAGGCCATAAACCCCAAGCTGAGCCCTAAATAGCTCTAAACCCGGACTACAACTCCTAAACGCTATGTATCAGTATATCCCCTACATACCCCTAAATTGCCCCAATCCCCACGTTGAACACTGGGAAACCAGGCTGCTTAGCCCTGCATCCGGGCACCGTAGACACGGACCTCACGCGCGCGTTCGCGCGGGCGCGGGCGAAGTACACCGTGCACCTGGCCTGCAGCGGGGAAGATGTAGCAGGATGTACGGATATGTGCCCATAGTCATTCATCGGGACATACGGCGGCCTACCGGGAAATAAGCATATGTACGGATATATTGGGATACCATAGGGATGTTAGCGTCTATAGGGTTTGCAAAACTTGTGGGTAGTTCCTTTTTTAGGAGTCCCTAGAATGAAACCAGGGCATAGGGTACCCTTATCCCTTGTAGTCAACTAGTAGCGGGTTGTGGGACCGCCTAATCTCATCCACGCAGTAGAAGGACAATTCCTGCCGTGCTACTCGGTACGACCCGGACATGACTGCCAGGGTTTGAATTAGGCGGCTTAGGGTTTAGGGCTTAGGGTTTTAGGGAAGAGCAGCGGGAGTTACTTAACACCTAGAGCCCTACACACAAAGGCCCTTGTGACGGGGTCTCCTGACTTAAACGAGGTACTGTAAGCATATTACGAAACACTCACACTCAGACTATAGATATTCCTGGATTATGTTTTTGACTAAATCCAGAAATGCATTGTAGAAGAAATTGCAACCTGCAACATCTCCATAGCCTCGAAGTCTTATCAGCCATTTCTCTGTGGCTTGGTCCATGCCTCCCATCAACCGAAACCCTAAACACTTCTACGCTGCTTCCGGTCCCACTGTTGGTTTATCTACGGCATCTGAACCACAGCATCCGGACTTGCAAACGCAATTTTGAATACTTCATGCAACAGGCTTCACGCTGGCCTTCACAGGAAATGGGGAATTAAAACAATCAACGTTGCGCCACATTCTGTTTCAACATTGTCCTTGCTTTCTCCTGTCCATGCCAATGTATCATCCCTACAGAATACCATGCCACCATGCTTCCCATTCTTAGCTTTGGATTTTCCCCATAGCGGTTTAGTGGCTAGGGGTTTAGGGTCTAGGTTTGAGGGCTTCAAGGGTTTAGTGTGATCCGGCTGAAATTGCGAGTTCTACCAGGGTTCCACGGAAGGTAGAGGTAGGGTATAAATCAAAATGTTTCCCTTGAATTCTTCACGTGGTCCCCCTTCCTTCTCCTGTACTCCCTATATGGGTCTTGAAAGCAGGGATGATTGAACATACGCTTCCTTAAAGGGGAATGACTCCCAAGCTGACAGCGAACCTGCCTTGTAGTCATATTCTGGACAGGTTTTTTCGAACAACTACCATACGTCTCCCTAAAGTACCGCCCTTAATCGCCACATTTGTCAACCTAGAACCATCACGGACCCCCCGTTCAAGTACCGCTGTCGGAGAAAGACCCATGTCCTCCTTGATATGCTAGGCAGGATGTCGACGAAGCAGCCGCTGTCTCAGCATTCCTCTGGATCCTAAACCCTAAACGGCCCTAAACTAAACCCCAAACCAACCCTAAACCAGAAGTCCTAAACCCAAACCCTAAACCCAGTGGGGCACCCTAGCAGACAGATAAAAAGTACAGTAGTCTGAAGATCTTGGTCCCTACTGGGGATCCCCATTCTCCCTTCAGTTTTGTTGAAATTGCGGAAAGGATCTGGGATGTCCGAGCCATTTCACAACCACCCTGGTTTGGCAAGCAATCTTTTGCCGGGATCGTTGTCACCACTTCCACTGTGAACCTGAAGCCGCATAACCTCCCTCGCGGAATCCAAGAATTAATGCGATCATGAATTGAAAGCTCCACAGGGGTCGAGGAGTGTTTATGGTTCCCTAAACCCTAAACCCTATAATCCTGTATGGTTGAGGGAAGAATCCGCACCAGAAGCCCCAGACCCTGAATCCCCAACCCTAAAGCCTAAACCTTTGGCCGCTCCCCCCCATATTTCGCCAGGAGGCCCTCAAAGCCAGGCTGAGAAGAATCGGAACTAACTTGAGTTGGGAGGTATACTACTATGAGCTACTTGGAGGGTCAGGGGGACTTAGTAAGTAGGTGAATAATGGGGATAAATAGGGCTATTGTATGGGTTATGCGGGTTATTAACTTACTTACTAAGTCCCCCTGACCCTCCAAGTATAGTCTACATTCCTAAGCCCTAAACCCAAAGGGAACCGAGCTCTAAACCTGAACCCCAAGATGAGGTTTTCTAAAATCATGGGTACCTTTTTTGGGGGTCCCAAGAATAAGGACCATAGTAATCATTTCGGGGTGTACAGGGGGGTCCCCTGATTTAGGGAAACTACCAAATACAGGGCTTCATAAAGGTGTAGAAGGTTTAGGGTTGAAACTCCCAACCTAGCATGGAACCCCAACAAAGATTATAAGCCATTGTCTAAACTTCTGGTATCCCCCTTGCTAACCCTATAATACTCCCCTATATATACCCCTTTAAGGAGTATTGACTATAGCTCAAATTGCCATCCACGTTAATGCGATGAAGATATCACCTCCCTTGTAACCAGCCGACCCAGCCTAGAATTTAAAGCCGTCAACGTACACACTGCGGGTAGGTTCATGCTACAACCAGAGTCATAGCTTCATTGGGGCAACCTGCAGAAGGCCAGGAGCTTATAAGCAAGATTGTAGCCCAATTATCGGTGCTGGTTCATGGGACTTAGTAACCACTTATACCCGGGGATTTCACCCCCTCACCCCTACTTCATTTGGGAGATCCTCAAGAACCGAGTTATACACCCTGAACCCTAACTCCTAAACTCTAAATCCTAAACCCTAAACCCGTACCCTATCAAGGCAGAGAAGCACCTGGCCATCATCGGTTCCCGTACCATGGCTCACACGGGGCGCTTCTTCGACTGGCAAGAGGCGGAGGTACCCTGGTGAGGACCCACGTGGACGACCCCTTGACTTAGTAAGTCTACTTAGTAACTTGGGTTATAGAGCTCATTATAGGGGTTACTAGGGATAGTAGGTAGACTACCTACCCTAAACCCTAAACCCTAGACCCTAAACCCTTCAGTAGGGATAGTAGGTAGGTAGACTTACTAAGTCCAAAGATCCTCCAAGCGCATGCAGGATTCAGGACGTGTTGGGTTGCTGTTGACGAGTTTAACTTACTTTTACTATCATGAGAAGACCCTATTACTTACCGTATATCCGCATATCCATAATACGTACCTTGAGTTATGAGTTCCTTAATAGAGCTCGGGGCTTTGGCTTGAGGGCTTGGCGCTAAGGGTCTTGGATTTCCGCAGGGTAGGGTGTGAAAGCTTTGAATCGAGGTATATACTCACATAATCCAGATTTCATATGCTTGTGCCAGGCAAGATGAGTGCCTGACTCTAGGATGGTTCTCCAAGTGAAGGCCCTTTGCATCCCCCAAGATGATGTAGCCCCTCATGCAGGACCCATCCCGGACCCGCTACCGCATAATTAAGATCAGCCATAAACCGCGAAATTCCCAAGCCCCTCCCATGCAGCAGTTGCAGGCACAAAGCACCTGATCAGAACAATGGACCAGTTTCAGGGTTGCTAGCAGTGTTGAGGGACTTGGTTCTGCATGCTTGCCAAGTTAAATTGGCTGCCTTTACTTGGGCTCCTTTCCAGTACCAGATGACTTCTGCCATTTTGGCAACAACAATCACCGGCTTGGAAAGACGTCAGGTTCAAAGGAAACCTTGTACGCAGCTTGCAGATTGTGCAGTCAATCTGGTGGCCATGCACGCTAAGTGTGCGGATGCATTAGCTAACACACAGACGCGACTCTCTTAAATGGGCATTGGTCGAAACTAGTGCATCCCCGAATACCGAACCAGCGAAAACCTAAACCCTAAGCCCCTAACCCTACGCCCTGCACCAGAAGCCTACACAATGCACCGCAAACCGAAAGCCCTGCACCTTGAAACCTAAGCAACCCTGAAATCCCCAAACCCTCACAATCTGAATCATAGTCAGGGAATCCTAAACTCTAAAAACCCTGAAGCCCTAAACCCCAACCCTCTATATCCCTCAGCCTATACACCCCCTAGAAAAGCCCTGTCTCCCACTGTGAAAGGACCCCCTAAACCTTAAACTGCGTAGCATCCCATGCCGCTTTATGGACTCCCGGGCATTCCGCGGGGTGCTGTGGTCGCCGGCGCAGGCTTGTCTGTGCTTCTCATTTGCAAGGATGTTTTTGGGTTTGCTATAACCCGCAAGTTTCGGGCCTAGGGTTTGGGTTTTAGGATTTTGGGGTACTATAATGCCCGGGGGTTGTATGGAGAGATATAGAGTTGTATAGGGTTTATTTCTGGGTATACCAGCGATTTTCTGGGGGATACTGTAATCCCAGTTTTAGAGCCTAGGGTTTAGGATGCAATAATCCCCTAGAGGTTATTTAGGGCTTTATAAGATTATATATCGGTATACCGTTCGATGCAAGGTTGGCGAAGTTATGGTGTCGTTCACGCACTTGAAAACTTCCCTCAGCTTAGCAGAAGAAAGAGGAAACTATCGTATTATTGGGAGTTAGATGATAAGGATCTGCTCCTCCAACCAGAGGAAGGAACAGTGCAGTACATAAATATGGGGCCTGATTCTCTGCGCATAGTTTGCGTAGTTTTCATTATTGGGGGGCCCCATTATAGACCGCACCATATTTTAATCCTTATTACAGGGACTCACAAAAAGGCCACATTTTTGGAAACGCCCATCTAGGCCCACAGATCCACAGTCTTGACTTTTTTGCCACTGCTACTCGCTGCATCTTCCTGTGCGATAATGGAAAGAAACTAGTTAGCAGACACTGCACAAAACGGCGAGTCCAAAGCAGCATGCGAGGAGCAGCTTCGTTAGAACCCCCCATACGGCCTCAACGTGTTCTTGATGGGCACCACTCTCCTCGGCGAAGCGCAACGGATCAACGGGTTTGCCATTTAAGGTCCTGTGCCTCACCCGACGATGCAAAAGTCACTTCCTTTATGCAGTTTCCCAGTCTTCCTTGTCCAAGGATCCGGTCCGAAATATGTCCCAGCTTTTGTTGTAGTATCAGCTTGGCATCCTCTCAGGGGATAATCTTTGGCTTTTCATGACCTTGCAGCAAACTAGGAGCTTCTGACTGTTATTGTGCAGCCGGTTCGCTGCTCATGTAGCCAAAGCGCAAGCATCGTGCACATCCGCTACAGACGTGCTTGGTGAGCCTTCTTCACACAAGAACTTTCAAACCCACCTCCAAGTAGTCTCACCCAAAAAGACTAAACCCGGAGCCCGTTGGGATTGTCATGTGAAGTCTCCCACTCAGTGTCCTAGGTTTGCTTCGACGGGTGGACTGTCGCTACTGCGTGGCTCCGCACAAGCTCATATTTTGGAGATTCTTTTGGAACTACAGGGCTTTGAGCATGAGCAAGCTGTTGTCCTTTAGCAACAGCCTTTTGTAGTGTGAGCACGTCAGGGTTTCCGAGGGCAAGTCACCCTGCTCATGAGTGTAGTGTTTATTTGGGGATACTACAGTGCTATGATCCAATGAGCAGATAAAGATTTTGTACCTAAACCCTAGACCCTAAATCCTAAACCCTTAAACTCTGAATCCTAAACCCTAACCCCTTAAAAACCATACCTAAAGCCCTAAACGTAGAATTTGGGGTCTTGCTAAGGCCCCAGGGCCTGCAGCGTAGCCACCTAATGAGGGGATAGCCTGACTTCATAGGGTTTAGGGGTTCAGGGTTTAGGGTTGAGGATTTAGGATTTAGGATTTAATCTTTAAGCTTGAGGACGTAGGGTTCAGGGTT